AAAAAAAAAAAATTAAAAAAAAAAAAAAATCTCTACACCCAACATGGTGCTTGAATTTACAATACTGAGATCAACAGCCTCACCCTCCACACTTAGCCAGCCAGGTTCTCCAATGAAAGCCAATTACTTTTTAAAGTTTTTATTTATTTATTTTCAGGTGGGGAGGGGCAGAGAGAGAGGGAGAGAGAGAATCCCAAGCAGGCTCTGCACTATCTGTGTGGAGCCTGACCCACTAACTGTGAGATCACGACTTGAGCCGAAACCAAGAGTCAGACGCTTAACCAACTGAGCCACCCAGGCATCCCAAAGCTATTTTGAATGTAGTTAAAGGGACTGATCTTTTCCCTGATAGCTGGTGCTTCTTGTGCTTAGAGAAATTCTCCTTCACTATGAGGTCATATATTCTTCTCCCAGTTTAAAATTTTGCCTTTCCTATGTAAGACTTTAATCTCGTGGTGTTGACTATGTATTGCGGAAGGTAGAAATCCAGTTTGGCTCTCCATAAGGAGAACCTGTTGTCTCAGCATGACTTATTAAATGGTCCCTCCCTTCTCCAGTGGCCTACCATGTCCCTTCTATCATCTACGAGAGTCAATGCCTGGTTCTTGGTTCATTCCACTGGTCAGTTTGTCTATTCCTGCCCCAGGACTATACTGACCTTAATAATCTTAGAATAAATTTTGGTATCTGATGGAGTGAATCCCCCAACCGGTTTTGCTTCAGGACTGCCTTGGCTCTTCATCATGATCATTTATGCTTCCATCTAAGTTTTGCAATCAGCTTGTCAAGTTCCATGAAAAACCCTCTTGGGACTTTATTCAACCCTGTGAAACTCTTTATTAATTTCAACAATTTGTAGATTTGTTTGCCTTGCCTAGTCATATCATTTGCAACACGAAGAGTTTTGTTTCTTCCTTTTGAATGCCTAAACTTTACATTTTTCTTCTCGTTTCCTTCCAAAACCTAAGACCTTCAGTAAATTGTTGATCAGAAGTGGAAATAGGGAGCATTTTTGTCTTCTTTCTAATTTTTATTTTACTTTATTTTGGTCTTCTTTCTGATTTTAAAAGGAGTGTTGTAGTGTTTCAACGGTTGACAGCTATTTTCATTTTTTGAAATATTCTTTATCAGTTAAGAAAATTCTTTTCAACTCTTGAGTTTTTGGGTTTTTTAATTTTTTTTTCTTAAATGTTTATTCATTTTTGAGAGACAGAGAGAGACAGAGCATGAACGGGGAAGGGGCAGAGAGAGGGAGACATGGAATCTGAAGCAGGCTCCAGGCTCTGAGCTGTCAGCACAGAGCCCGATGAGGGGCTTGAACTCACAAACTGTGAGATCATGACCTGAGCCAAAGTTGGACACTCAACCGAGCCATCCAGATGCCCCTAAACTCTTGAGTTTTTAAAGAGTTTTTTTTTTTTATCATAAATGGATATAAAGGGTCTTTAAGAGCTTTTTCTAAATTTATTGAGATGACTGTGGTTTTTCTCTTTTAATCTGTTAATATTCAATTTTCATAAATGTATTTTCTAATGCTAAATAAACCTTGCATTTCTGGGATAAATCCAAGTTGGTATTTTCTAGATTTGGTATGCTAGGATCTTGTTTAGAATTTTGGTATTTACATTTTCCTTTTTGGAACTATCTTTGACTTTGGTATCCAGGTCAAACTAGCATTATAAAATGAGGTGGAGAACATTCTCTCTTTTTCCATTATCTGGAAGAGTTTATGTAAGGTTGATACGACCTGTTACTTGAATATTCTGAAGGATTCACCTATAAAACTCTTAGTATTTTTTGTATGAAGACTTTAGATCACTGGTTTAATTTTTATAATGGCTGAAGGACCATTCGAGTCATCTACACTCATGAGTGGACTTCAGTATGTTTTATTTGTCTAAGAATTTGTCCACTTCAACAAAGTTGTGAATTTTATTGACGTAAGTTTCTGATATATTTGTACTTATGTGCCCTTTAAGTTTCTCTTTTATTTCTGTCTTCGCTCTTTTTCTTGACAAACCTTGTCAAATGTTTGTCGATTTTATTATCTTTTCAAATAATCAACTTTGGACTTGTTGGTCTTCTCCATAGTTGTATTTCAGCTCCTTTGTGTCTGCTCTTACATTTGTGATTTTTCCCCTTCCATTTTCTATGTATTTCCTTCTCCTCCCTGAATTCTAAAACTTGATGGACTTATGAATTGGGTCTTTACTCAGTTCCAGGAAATTCCCAGCCATTATCTCTTCTAATATGTCTTCCCCCTCCCTCTCTCTCTCCTTTCCTCTTAAAGTTTCAGTTTACTTCCTTAGACCTTTTCACATTGTCTCCCATGACTCTCCACTTCTCTTCTAAATTTTCTTTTTTTTTTCCTTTTTAAGTTTTTTGTTTGTGTGTGTGTGTGTGTGTGTGTGTGTGTGTTTAGAAAGAGAGCAGAGCAGGAGAGAGAGACAGGGGGGAAGAGAGAGAGAATCTCAAGCAGGCGCCATGCTCAGTGCAGAGCCCAAAAACGAACTGTGAGATGACCTGAGCTGAAGCCAAGAGTTGGATGCTCAACTAGTTGAGCCACCAAGACGCCCCTCTTTTAAAATTTCTATCTTTGTCTCAGTGCTACCTGCTGTATATTTTCTTTTATCTTTAGCTGAATCTAAAACTTGTTTAACCTGCCTATTTTTAGTTTCATTGGCTGGATAGTTTATTTCTGGGAGTTCCATGTGACTTTTTTCCAAGTATCTGACATTTTGTGGGTCTGATCCTTACTTCTGCTGATCTGCAGGTGGCAAAGTAGGACTCCTGCTAGGGCTCCCACCAGGTAAGCCTCTTCCTCTTAGACCCAGGGTTACAAGGTTATTAGCTCTAGTAAAGAAAACCAACGGGGACCTCTGAGGGATCAGTTAAAGAGAACATCTTGTCTTTCTGTCTTCCCAACAGTACTGAGCACACGGAAATACTGAACACACATTCACCGAGCTGACATGTCAGACCCCATGAGCTTAAACCAGAGAGCTGGTAACACGGATGCCAGTGGGAGGCAGATGGTTTCATAAACCTGACTAAGGCAGGTATAGGTAGTAGGGAGTAGACCTGGCAAACTGGAGAGTCCTGCCATGCCCAGATGTCCAAATATGGTGGCTCCTGCTTAGTTTCAGCATCTTGTTCACATGGGACTTGAGCCTACTGATGCCAGTCCTTCCAAGAAGACAGAAATACAGATTTATACCCAACCTTGACAATTTTCACAATACACGGTGGGCCAAAATGGACTGTGTGTGTGACCCCGGCTGAAGCCTCTCCTTACGGAAATGCCTTCATCTTCCCTGCTTGCGGTCTCCTTGCTGTGCTCTTGGCTTTTACTAAGGGGCTAATAAAACAAAGAGCCACACCAGAAATGCTTCCATATTCTGTTTCTTCTGTAAAACTATTGCTGAGGTCACTGTCCATCCTGCTGAATGATTCCTCTTATACAGAGACTGAACTGGTTCAGTCCCTAGAACGGAACACTTTGTGCTTGTTCAATACTCAGTCACAGTTCAATATTGGCCTAGGATTTGGGAGATTTGACTCCTTCACCTAGTGACTTGTTGTTGTTATTACTATTAACAAACTATTTTGGAATAATTCAGATATGCAGAAAAGCTGCAAAGATAAAACAAAGAGTTCTCATATGACCCTTGCCCAGCGTCTCCTGTTGTTAACATTGTACAAAATTGGTACATTACTAACAACTAAACTCTAGACCTAATTTAGATTTCACTAGTTGTCCCATTAATGGCCTTCTTCTATTCCAGAATCTAAGACATCATACTGCATTTTGCATCTACTGACGTTTAATTTCTAATTTTACTTTAACGGCCAAATATCTTTTATTTAAAAAAATGCCTTTCTTGGGGCGCTTGGGTGGCTCAGTCGGTTGGGCGGCCGACTTCGGCTCAGGTCACGATCTCGCGGTCCGTGAGTTCGAGCCCCGCGTCGGGCTCTGTGCTGACAGCTCAGAGCCTGGAGCCTGTTTCGGATTCTGTGTCTCCCTCACTCTGACCCTCCCCCGTTCATGCTCTGTCTCAAAAATAAATAAACGTTAAAAAAAAAATTAAAAAAAAATAATACATCATTGTTTTTTAAAAAAAAAAAGAAAAAAAATGCTTTTCTGGAAATAGGCAGGAGTATAAACACAGAGGTATTTGCTGATTTGAAAAGCTGGGCCTTCTACTGGTTGAAAAAGCTGGCAGGACCCCGCTCCAATGGAAGTCGCTGCACCATGAAGAGCAAGCCTTCAGTGGCTCTTAAACTTTGCTGAGTGTCAGACTCACCTAGCAGGCAGGTAAACATGCATATTCCTGGACCCTGCTCTCACAACTTCTGAATCAGGTCTGGGGTGGTGCCCAAGAATCTGCATTTGTAGCCTGCTCCTGGGTGATGCTGATGCTGGTGATCCATGGACCACACCTAACGTCACGCTGGCTTGGAGAACACGACATTTTATCTCAGTATGTCGTTTCATGTGATTCCTGCCAGGTGAGGCAGGGAATGTATCCCATTTGACACATGAGAAAAGTGGTGCCCAGCAAGGCAGAGTATGTTGCCCCAATCACACAGCTGGTTAATACTGACACCAGAACCCCCAAAGGTCCCGGCTCTAAGCATCCCGACATGGGAGAGCAGCCAGGGCCACGTTGACCACTGTCCTTTACCTACTAAGCTCCAGGCCTCCTCCTGTCCCTCAACCCACGAAGCTCATTCCAATCCCCAAACCAGACGTTGTGCTTCCTGTTTCTTCTGCTCTCACATCTTCTCGCAGCCAAGGTTCCTCCTTGCCACTCAAGTTCCAGCTTAAATACCATCTCCTCCAAGAAGCCTTCTTTGACCACCCAGGCTAAGGGGGCTCTGCATCCCTTTCCCCTCCAATCTCACTTGCTATCACATCACCAAGTTTTACTGCCTGTACAGGTCTTTTCGTGATTTGAAATGATCTCATTCACTAATTGTTCACATGTTTATTGTTTCCCTTCTCGGTAGTAAGCCTTCCCTTCATCTCAGTGCCTGGCACGTGGTAACACTCGGTATACAGACTTGTCGAATGACTGAATAAATAAATAAAAATAAATTAATAAATAAACGGATGATCAGAAGGCTACAAGGTGGTGCTGGAGAGCAAGTCTGGAGGGCAAGAGGCCCCTGCTTACCTGAAGTCTCCTGAGAAACCGCTCCAGGGCAGGCTTGCCCACAGACCGGATCTTGTTGCGGTCAAGGCGGACGCGGGCATCTGGCCGCCCATCAGTGCCTGTGGTGGGAGTGACAGTAACGAGTCCCTCGCCAGCCTCCAGCAAGACCCTCAGGATCACAAACCGGGCCTGCATGTGGGCCTGCCAGAGCCAAGAAGAAAGGAATCATTTGCAGCCCTAATGGAAGACATATCAAGAGCTTGGGCCTAACATACAGCGTGTGCTCATTAACTGTCAATTAATTCTTACCATCGTATTCTCCCTCATTCCGTGGGCCTTTTTCTGCCTTAAGTGCTTCCTCCCTTCTCTGCTCACAAGGGAAGACAGGCTTTCCTGGGAAATAGGAAGGCCATTCCCAGGCAGAACCGTGAGCCCTGTGCTCCCCTTTACCAACCCCTATGCCTTTCTCTGCTCCAAACCCCACCCTGATGATAGCAGATGGCTCCGGGGGTCCCGCGCAGTCCAGGTCACCAAGCACCTTCTCCTCCACATCTTGTTTGCATTCAACAGTGGGACCAAGTGAGCATCAGGATCCCCAGTTTACAGATGACAAAACAGAGGCCCAGAGAGGTGAACGGACTTGCTGAGGATCACACAGCTGTTACAGAGAGCAAGGACTTACACCTAAGTTTCCTGACTCTAAAACGTGTGCTCTTTTGATGACATAAGATCGCCTCCTTAGAACATACTTGTATAACTTTCAAAAACGTCCCTACTGCTTACCTTATTTCCGAAACACATCTCATAACTGACCAGTCTAGCCTAAAGCTCTGGAGGCAGACCGCTTGGATTTGAATCCTGGCTCTGCTACTTACCAACAAGTTACTTAATCTCTTTGTGCCTCCACTGCCTCATGTCTACAATGAGAGTAATAACACACCTACCTCCTGGGGTTGACACTGGGAACAAATAAGTCAATTCAGGTAAAGTGCTTAGAAACGTGTGTGGCACGGAGTAAGTCCTACACAAGTCAACTATTAGCAGTCATAGTAAAATCACCTCATCTGATTTGCCATCAGAAGGGGGCAGGGGGATTATTACACCCATTGCACAGACAGGGACACTGAGGCTCACAGCAGTGTGACTTACCCTCCCCACCCCCCTCCCCACCCCCGACCATAGGCAGTAGAGGCTGGGATTAAACCCAGTTCATGTACCTTGTAGGTAGATATGGTTGTCCAATCCTTACACCTAGAATCCTGACCTTGGTCCTTACCTGTCTCCAGCTAGACACCTCAGGGGTGTAGAACTCCAGAGCGAGCAGCCCGGCCCGAACCATGTTGAGCCAGTTCACATAGATCACATCTTCCGCATCAGCCCCCTCAAAGCCAAAGATCCTGGTGGAGGGACAGGGTGGTGGCAGGGCCAGTCAGAGGCTGCCTGGGTTTTGACCCACCCCTCGGCCAGCACACCCTCCGTCTACACAGCAGGCCCACCCCCCATGCCTGGTGCTCATACTCTAGCACTTGGGGGTTGAGGCAGAGGTAGAGGCCCACGCTTTCAGCCCGGCATTCTTCATAGCTAGAGGCGATGGTGCTGAACTTGCTGTCCCAGGTCTCCCCGCTCCGGTACCAGCTCTGAATCTGGGAGAGGAGGCCCAGGAAGCAGGCTTAGGGGCAGCTGCTCCCCCAGCCACGCCCAGCCCAGCACCCTGGGGCTCCACCGAGGCCGCCCTCACCTGCTCCCCCGTCTCTGGGTTGATCACTGTTTCCTGGTCAAAGTTAAATGCTCCTTTTTCATCCTGCAGAAGGGTCATGACACCAGGACTTCAGCCCGGGGATTCAAGGGCCATCCGCACGCTGCTGCCTCCAAACCTGAGTCCTGTGACACTGGCTGCCCTCTCAGAACCCCCAGTCACTTGAAAACCCAGACCCAGGATCTCCAGACCCCAGACATGTATCAGTGGGTGGGCCAGAAAGCTTGGCTGCTGCCCCCCTGTGTGTTTCCCAGCCCCTTGCCACGCTGGAAGAGCCCACAGCCTGTGATTCTCTGCCTCAAATAAGCTATCCACTCCGTGTGCCAAGTGTCTTTTATGCACCTGCCGTTTATTCCTCATAACTGCCCCCCCCACCCCGAGGGAGGTCCTATCACCCTCATCCACAGAGGAGGAAACTGAGGCTCAGAGACTCTCAGCCCCAAAGTGGAATCAGAGCACATAACCTTCGTGCACACTATCTCAACAATAACACCTATTTTCAGAGGGCCTACTGCATCAGGCAAGCCCGAGGGCTTTGCTTTTATTCCTCACAATAGCCCATGTGGTAGGAGTCAGGGTCCCTGTTTTGCAGATGGGCCAAATGAGGCTCACTAAGGAGAACTGACTTATCCAAGGACATAGCGTAGCCACATTTATCCACATTTCCCTGTGACTTCAAAGCCTGCACAGGGCCCAATGCCAGGCTGCCGTCCCCACTAGCTGCTCTCTGGATCCTCCTGACCTCCAGCCCCACCCCACTCAGTGAGGTGCCCCAACTCACAGGGCACAGGCCCAACCCAGAACCCCGCTCCCTCCAATGTCCTGGCCCCAGCCGCCTCTGGTCATCTCATTTGTGCAGTTCCATGCTAGCAGTCCAGGATGGGCTCTTCTCAGCCTGGCAGAAAAGCTGTCTGTCTTCTCCATACTCCCTGAGTGGTTGTCAAAGGGGCTCCAGCCATTCTGGCCGGCTGGCAGGAAGGGGCTGCCCTGGGGAGAAGTGACTCCCTGTAATACCTGGAGAGGTACAGGCTCCAGGGAACAGTAAGTAGAACAGACAGACCATGCTGCAGCCTCAGGACTGGGCGCATCCAGAGACTGCCCCTCGGAGCCTCCCTGTCCCTGGGGCTATCTGAGTCACACCCCCAGGGCAGGCTTCCCTGGCCTGAGCCTCGCAAGTCTTCCTGTTCAGACCGCAGCTGGACTGTCCTGCAGGCCCTGCACCCTTGAGGCTCCTGGGACATCTTAGGGGAGGGAGAGATAGGAACTCCCCTCATTAAGGGGCCATTTTCCCCAGCTAACCCAGAACCCCTGAGCGCAAAGACTGAAGCAGACTCATCCAGGGTGGAGTTGATCCTGGGGGAGGGGAGCTGCAGGCGCGTTCTCACCTGCACAAAGAGCTTGCCGCTGCCGTGTCCCAGCAGCTCGTGCAGTCCCACCTGCACATCAAAGGAGGGCCCCTTCCAGCGGATGTACAGGTCCTGCCAAGACAAGTAGAGACCCACGCTGTCTGCCGCCCCACCACAGCCGCAAAGCCACTAATGCCCCTGCTGCCAGGCAGAGGGCCCGCCGTCTACTTTATGCCAGGCTCTGCGCAGGGCACCGCATGGCCCACCTCACCCTTGCAACAACCCAGGAGGAAGGAATTGCCTCCACTGTTTGACAGGTGAGCAAACAGGCCAAGTCACGGGGCCACCAGGCTGGGAAGTGGTTGGCCCTGCTCTTTCCTCTCCCTGCCCAGGACCCCTCTGCTTTCCTGTGTCAGCTGAGGTCAGGCCAGGCCCAACCCAGACCCTCGGGCTGCCAGTGCCCACCTTGTCATCCTCCTCCAGGAAGGTAAGCTTCTCCCGCTGTGTAGCATAGGCCACAGCCAGCACGTTCCCCAGTGACACGTTCTTAAAGCCTTCCGTCTGCCTTAGGTCGTCATCTGGAGAAGGCAGGGAGGGAACCGGGAGAGGGGCAAAAATCAAGGCCACAGACAAGGAGTCGAGACAAGGGGACCAGGCTGCGATGGAGAACTGATTAGGGCAGCATGTGGCCAGGGCGAGTGAGGGGGAGGGGTGACCCTGGAGGCTCAGGGGGGATACCATGATGGCTTCAGGGGCCTGAGGAAGCTCACAGTTGGGGATGTTGATGCCAGCAGGGATGCCAGAGCCAGAGAAGGTGAGAACATCCAGGGAGGTGAAGTCGGGGCTGAGGAACTTGTCCTTCTCAAAGGCCGGGGGCCAGGGCAGCTCCTTCAGCAGCTGTTCTGCGCTTGCCACCAGACACTCAAACTTGGCACTCATGGCCTTGTTCACCATGGCCACAAAGCCTGCAGGGAAGGAGGGGGGCTGTGGGCTGGCAGGGCTTGGGAGGGATCCTATACCCCACTTCCAGCCATCACGCATGTATTGAATGCCTGCTGTGTGCAATACCCTTTGCCGGCCAGTGGGGAGAACAGTGACCCAGGCCTGGCCCTGCCTTCGTGGAGGTCACTGGGGTGGGTGGGCTGTAAGGAGAAGGCTTCAGTGGGTAACACCTGAGATGGATCTTAAAGGAGATCGCGGGGAGCACATAGGGGGCGGTGGGTAAAGGATCGGATTCCCAGTGGAAGGGACTGCATGAACAAAAAAGATGCTCTTCTTTTTGGAGAAACTGAGCTGTCCTGCATGGCTAGAGCATCTGACTTGCACGGTGAGGCTGCTATGCAGGAGGGCTGGGGCTGATCCTTTTAGATTTAAAAAGGAGTTTTTAAGCTAGGAGTTCCCAGCTTAAAGCACAGTTTCTAAAGTTGTACTCCATAAAATGCTGTTTCTATAAAGGCCTTCATAAAGAAAGAGCTTCCTGGTTTAATAAGTTTGGATACCACTATATGCTCTATCACTAACTTCTTAGAGATTCCTAATGTATGTTTGCATATTAGAGGTACTGAAGAGTCCTGTAGGCAAGACCCCTTGCTGCTTAGCACTGAACCCTTCATGGTGTAATTCGTGTTAACCCTGCATGACCTATACCTTGGAAAGGACTGGCCTAGACTACTGCCTGGTCAGGCTCTTGCAAAGAATGGATTAACTTGGCCAAGGGTTAGACTGGACGAAGCCTCCCTGTCTGGAGCCACTCTGTCAGGTGGAACTGACACCAGGCCAGAAAGCTGGGATGATTAAAATAACAAAGAGGGGCACCTGGGTGGCTCAGTCAGTGAAGCGTCTGACTTCAGCTTGGGTCATGATCTCACGGGTTCGTGGGTTCAAGCCCCGCATCGGGGTCTGTGCTGACAGCTCAGAGCCTGGAGCCTGCTTCGGATTCTGTGTCTCCTTCTCTCTCTGCTCCTCCCCCATTCATGCTCTGTCTCTCTCTGTCTCTCAAAAATAAATAAAAGCTAAAAAAAATTTAAAAAAATTTATAGCAAAGAAGAAAAAGCAATCTCAGGGACTGGTTAAATAAATTAGGGGGCGGCTATATGATGGTACACCATGTAACTGTTAGACGTGTAGCACAATATTGAATGTCATGGGAAATTATAATATTATGCAGCTACTGAAAAGAACATGGGGGGAGCCTGGCCGGCTCAGTTGGTAGAGCATGTGACTCCTGATCTTTGGGTCGTGAGTTCAAGATCCACGTTGGGTGTGGAGCCTACTTAAAAAAATAAATAAGTAAAAGTGAAAAGAATATTGGGGCGCCTGAGTGGCTCAGTCAGTTGAGCATCCGACTTTGGCTCAGGTCATGACATCACGGTTCGTGAGTTTGAGCCCCGAGTCAGGCTCTGCGCTGACAGCTTGGAGCCTGGAGCCTGCTTCGGATTCTGTGTCTCCCTCTCTCTCTCTGTCTCTCTCTCTCTGCCCCTCCCCTGCTTGCACTCTGTCTTTCTCTCTCTCAAAAAGAAATAAACATTAAAAAAATTTTTTTAATAATAAAAAATAGGGGCGCCTGGGTGGCGCAGTCGGTTAAGCGTCCGGCTTCAGCCAGGTCACGATCTCGCGGTCCGTGAGTTCGAGCCCCGCATCAGGCTCTGGGCTGATGGCTCGGAGCCTGGAGCCTGTTTCCGATTCTGTGTCTCCCTCTCTCTCTGCCTCTCCCCCGTTCATGCTCTGTCTCTCTCTGTCCCAAAAAAAAAAATAAACGTTGAAAAAAAAAATTAAAAAAAAATAATAAATAAAAAATAAAAATAAAAAAGATAAAAAGAACATGGTAGGTCGATACATACTGATTTGAAAAGATATCCAAAACATTCAGTAAAAAAAGCAAGTGGCAGAACAATATATACAGCATGACCTCATTTACCTGGACGAATTAAAAGTTGCGTGTGTGTGTGTGTTTGTGTGTGTGTGTGCGCGCGCTTAAACAAAGCTCTGGAGAGACCTATAGTGAACTGTGAACAGTGGTGACCTCCAGAGAGGAGTGTCACAGGGGGGAAATTTCACATTGTATCCTACATACCTAGGTATTGTTCCAATTACTTACAACAAACATGGATTTTTAAATCCCCCCACACACATTTTGAAACATTTACAGCTCTATATAAAAATGAAAATCACAATGTACATTCCCAATTTTAACCTTGAGGTGGGTGTAATCACAGATGATTTCTTTTCCTCTGCTTTCAAAATTTGTGACCACGAACATGGACTAGTTTTCTAATAATCACAATGAACTGGGGTAAAAAGGGGAGCCTCTGAGATCAAGGCTGCTTAGGAGATTCTGGGGTCTTGACCCTGAGAGAGGCCTGGAGAATCAGGACCCAGGCACAGAAGCTGCAGGTGCACACACCTGTCCTCCCCTCTGGTACCTGCATCACCTGCCCCCTCGGCCTGCATCTATGAGCTCAGATCTAAGCTGCCCCCAGGGGCTGTTGGGGCTTTCCTCTCTCCTCCCAGGCTAATCTCTCTGGCTTCTAGCAGCTGGATGCTTCAGACTCTATCTCCAGGGGCTGGGGAGGATAAGGCTTGGCACAGAAGTCTAAATCCTCAGGCTGGATGCCTGGGGATATGGGCATAACCATGGAGGCTAAGGCAGCTTCCCACCTGCCCTGGGATGACAGCAGCCAAGTCAAGTTCACAATCATGATGTTAATTATGCTCCCACTCACCCAGCACCTTTCATGTGCCTGGCATTGCGTTGACAGCCTACATAGAATACCTCACTTCCCACGACACCTGAAAGGGAGTGAGGGATGCTCATCTCTGGGTTTACACAGCTGGGGAGGTCACACAGCCGGTGAGTGGCAAAGCTGGGCTCTGGACCAGACAGCAAAGGCAGAACAGCAAAGTGGCTCAGAGCCGAGGTTCCAGGCTTAGCCACTCACCAACCTCTGTAACCACCTCTGTACAGCGAGGATAGCAATTCTCATGGGACGATGATGTCCAAAGGAGCTAATACAGTTAAGGGCTACGTGGTAAATCATCAACACTGGTTCTGATTATTGTTGTTATTACTGCCAAGGGGGGAGGGGAGAACTCTCAGGAGACATGGGATAAGGGTTTGTAAGCTGACCCCCTTCTCCCAGAAGTTACCTTCAAACTCTCCACGGGAACCAAAGGGGTCTCGGTAGCTCTCGATGAACCCGATGTAACTGGGGGAGAAAAGGGCAGAGATAGAAAAGGGGCAGGCAGGAGGGGGGCAGCCGGGGTGAAGGCTCGTGCCTCACCTCTCTATGATGGGGCCTTTGTCCTGTATCCAGAAGCGGGAGCCCCTCTTGTGGGCCTCGATGGAGCCCTGGGTGAAACTCTCTATGTACTGAGCCAGCATCTGTTCCTGCCGGCTGTTGGCTGCATATGCCTGGGGGGAGCAAGGGTCGGTCAGTCTCAGGCCACCCACTTGTCCTGACTTGTCTCTGATGCCCAGAGGGATCTGGAGCTGGCACGCCTCAGCCCCCAGCCAGCCCTACCTTGGCTCTCTCCAGGTGCTCCACCACCTTCTGGAGGATAGGTGCATAGTCCCCCCGCGTCACCTGAAAATGGTTCCCACGGAATTCGTAGCTCTTCAGCCTGGACGTCATTTCGGAATGCAGAGCAGACTCTGAGGGAAGAAGGATTGCTAGTGTAAAACACCCCAGCAGGCTTCGCACCATGACACTCTTTTATTCTAAGATCTTCCACAACTCCCCACTGCCTACGGAAACTAGTATAAACTTTCATTTTCAAATATACATATGTTACCTAATATGAAATGTTCTTTTTCTCTTTTTAGAGAGAGAGAGAGTGCATGAGCGCGGGAGAGGTGCAGAGGGTGGGGGAAGAGAGACACAGAGAGAGAGAGAGAGAGAGAGAGAGAGAGAGAGAGAGAGAATGAATCCTAAGCAGACTTCACACTCAGCGAGGAGCCCGACACAGGACTTGATCCCACAACCCTACGATCATGACCTGAGCCGAAATCCAGAATCAAACACTCAACCAACTGAGCCACCCAGGCACCCCCATAATATGAAATGTTCTTGGGGCGCCTGGGTGGCTCAGTCAGTTGAGCGTCCAACTTCAGCTCAGGGCATGATCTCACGGTCTCTGAGTTCAAGCCCCGCATCGGGCTCTGTGCTGACAGCTCAGAGCCTGGAGCCTGCTTCCGATTCTGTGTCTCCCTCTCTCTCTGCCCCTCCCCTGCTCACGCTCTGTCTCTCCCTCTCAAAAATAAATAAACATTAAAAAAATTTTTTTGAAATGTTCTAAGTATTGCACACATGTTAACTCATTTAAGCCTCACGTCAGCTCTAGGGGGAGTGATCTCCATTTTACAGATGGGGAAACAAAGGCACCGAGAGGTAAAGTAAGTTTCCGAAGGTCACACGGGCAGCAAATGGCAGAGCAGGATTCAAACCTAGGGTGGCAAACTGTATTTGAAAAGACAGCTATCCCCTAAATGTAATCACAGCGGGTCTTACAAGGAGACAAGAGGGTGAACAGGAAGTAGGAGACGTGATGAGAGAAGGAGGTTGGAGAGAGGGGAGGAAGGGGACATGAGCCAACGAGAGCAGGCAGCCTCTAGAAGGTGAAGCTGAAAGAGTATTTCCCCTGGAGGCTCCAGTTCCTTCTGGAACTTGTTTTTGACTTTGGACCTCCAAACAGCGGCCAAATAAATGTGTGTTGTTTTATGCCACCGAATTTGTGATTTGTTGTGTTTTGCTTGTTGTTCCTGAGCAGTACGATGTACTTCTAGATTATGTTTAAGAAAAAAAGATAACCATGGTGCTTCCCATGACCCAATGTGACATTTCCCATGTCCCAAATGTGACATCCCCCATTAGGATGCAGGGGCTCTTTTCCGTCCTCTTGACGCTGGGCAGACTTGCGACTATAGCAAAAGTGATGCTGAGACCAGGTCCTAGATGGTGACACAGCTCCTGCCCGGCTCTCTGGGAACCCTAGCCACCGTGACTGACGCAAAGAAACCACATGGGGTGCTTTGGCCCCTGCTGAGGTCCCGGCCGGCAGCTAGCATCTTCCACCAGATGTGTGAGTGACAGCCTGCGGGTGATTCCAAACCCCTGGCTATTGATGACCCCCCAGCCTCTGAGTTTTCGCAGCTGAGGCCTCGGACATCGTCACCAGGGACCAGCTGTTCCTACCGTGCCGCAGCCAAATTACCGACCCGGAGACTCTGTGAGCATGAAAAGGTGGGTTTCCATCACTAAATTTGGGGGGCATCTGTACAGAGCAATAGATAACACCACAGGTACACCCAGGCAGCCTGGCTCCGAGCGGTGTTCTCAGGCACTGTCCTGTACGCAGTAGAGTATATGTAAGTACAGGTCCAGCTTCTCCTCCCCCGAACCCAATACCCCTTTCCTTAGTCAAATCAAACTACTCGCCAATCCTTAAACTCCCCTTCCACCACGCTCCACCAGCAGCGTGGGTCTCCAGCCATCTTCACCTCTTCACACAACCAATATCTGAGTTTCTGCCACGTGCTGGCCAGTGGGGAGACACTGGTGAACGAAACCTACAATTCCTCCCCTTGAGGAGCCTGTAGTCAACAGCAACTGCAAGAAACCTGGGGGATTACTGGGTGTTGCTGGTGGGAAAAGAGAAGGAAAGTCATCGAAAGGCAGGGAAAGGTCCTGGAGGTGATGTTCAAGCGCAGTCTTAAGGATGAGTAGGTTTTCATCACATGAGCGAAGGGAGGGAAGCATTTGAGATGGGAAAGGGATCAGATTGTGCCAAGTCCTGGACAGCGTACATGAGAACAAGGGGTTTTCAGAGAACTGGAAGCCGCTGAGTGTGGCTGGGGCACAGAGTCTAAGTGGGAGGCTTGCAGGAATATGAGGCTGGGGGCTGGGAGGAGGCAAGTGAGTGGAAAAGGGAGGGCCAGGTTGCAAAGGCCCTCACAGGGGCCTGGATATTTCTGTCCATACCGAATACATTTCCTTCTCACCTGGGAACAGACCCCAGCTTTCCTCTGAGAATCCTCCACCAGGACCACCTCCGGTTCAGGTGAGTGGGAGGGGCTGACCTCATCACCTGGCTCTGAGGTAGGCTTGGGATCAGGGTCTAGACAATGAGATATCTGTCCCTGACCACAGGGATTGGTTCACAGATAAATACGGTATGCAGGATAGGGAAACTGGAGCCACTCCCAGACCTTATGAAGAAACTTCTGGGAGAAGAGGGCTCTCTTTCTGCTGGACTGGCCAGGCTGGTCCACTATCAGGCCCCGTGTGGGAGGAACATGCCATGGATGAAGTCAGAGAGCTGAGCCAAGACACGGAGAGAGAAATTTCTCAGGATACTGTCTGAGCAGCTGGATCCGGCTGTGCTTGAAGCCATCCTACTCCAGGCTTCTTAATTACCCAAGCCTGTTAAGTACTTGGGTTCCGGTTCAGGCAAATTTGAAATAGACTCTTCATTTGCAAAGAGTTCTGAATGACAGGGGTGCCTGGGTGGCTCAGTTGGTTAAGTGTCCGACTCTTGGTTTCAGCTCAGGTCATGATCTCTTGGTTTGTGGGATCAAGCCCCATGTAGGACTCTGCACTGACAGTGTAGAACGTGCTTGGGATTCTCTATCTCTCTCTCTCTCAAAATAAACAAACATTAAAAAAAAAAAAAAAGAGTTTTGAATGATACAGCCCTTAGGGGTGGATTTGGGCTTTACCCTGAGGGTACCTGATAGTTAGGAAGCAGACTTTAGTACGTTAGCCATCTCAAACTTTCTAGATTCCCCCCAGCCTCCGAGACATATATGGTCTTCACTGATGTATAGTCTGGATTTCTCTTCTAGGCTGTCAAGGGGCATATGGCCCAGCCTCTCTTCCCATTATTTACGTGGGTTGTTATTTTTTGTGATGGGGATCATGCCCAACACGGCTCCCGTTAGAGGCTTGCAGCAGTAACACCTGCCAAGTGGAACGGAACCCCTTTCCCTGTCGTCATGTTTCCCCCCATTTCTTTACTGTCACAGCCAGCACTGGGGCAAGCTTTCCCTCACAGGTACCCCTGTACACAGAGCACGGCACCGGCTGAGTCTGCAATCCACATGCGCCGTGACTATTATGACCGTTCTTCCCTGCAGCTCCCGCATAACCCACCAGCCCCTGTCCTCAGTCCAGCCCCCTCTGCCCTGGTCCAGGAGCACTGAGGCAGGAGTAGAAGGGGTGTGTGAAGCAGCTCACCCGTGCCAAGCACAGAAGCCAGCCGCACCTCATAGCGGGGCTTCCCATCCTGGTCGACATCCTTGAAGAGCCGCGTGTTGTAGGCACTGAGGTTCTGGAAAAGACCAGGGCATGGGTCTGGGGAAGGGTAAAGTCCAGAGGGGGCTGCAAGGTGGGAGCAGGGAAAGGGTCACACCAGGGAGAGAAGATACAGAAGCAAAGCAGGCCGGGGCCGCTGGGGGAAGCTGCCCGAGGCAGCTGGACTGGGGTGGGGGAAACAGGTGGGCAGGCGGGACAGGCTCTCCAGTTCTGCTCTACATGCTGAGCACGAACGTTTACTAAGTGCTGACCCGACTGTGCCCAGCACTGCATGCCCTCAGCTAACCCAGGGCTCTGCGAGGCAGCAGACGTGAAACTGGTCACACAGCTTCTGGGAGGTTCATGTTGGCTTCATGTGGAAGCCAGGGCCCAACGGGAAGCGGCTCTGATGCTCTGTGTCGTCCTGCCCTGAGGCTGTCATTAAGGCCTTCAGTCTGGGGCGGGCGGGGGCAGCTCTGTCACAGCCATGCGTGGGAATGTCATCTTCACTGGGGCCAGGCCAACTCTTGGACAAGGATTCCCAAGTCTTGTCCGCCTCAAACACCCAAGATGCCAGTGTCTCTGGTCCCAAGCTGAGACCCAGAGTGGGTGCTGGCGATGAGTGGGTCCCGTCAAATCACTGTCCTGAGTCCCCAGTCCTCAAACCTGTGAGTCCAGAAAGTCTTGGGCCAGTTTGGCATCTTCCATGGTGCAATTCCCGGAGAAATAGGTGGTGATTCCCTGTTGAGGAAGGGGATGGACAGGAAGAAGGAACTGCTGAGGTGGGGAGACTCCCTTCCCGGCACACTTCCCCCCACAGCCCCAGGTTTCCTGTACCTCCTCCCAGCAGCCTCCACCCTGCCCCCTCCATCTCTTTCCTGGGGGAAAAACTGTAACACAAATAACAAAGAGAGGTCCGTCTCTAGCTTTCCTGCAGCTCCGCTCCAGTCTTTCACAGGCTGGCCCCTCGCACAGGCTTGTCACATCCCTCACACCACGCAGCTGCTGCGTGGCCTCCAGGGGCGGGAAGCCTAGGCTCCCTCCTCTCCCTTCTTCCCTTCCTCAGCTCCCTCTCACTCTTGGCTCCTCTCCTTCCCTTCTGCACACACCACCCCAGACTTCAGAACTGGAAGGGCTTTCAGAAAGCTCTCCATCCAGGGGCGCCTGGGTGGCTCAGTCGGTTAAGCAGCCGACTTCGGGTCAGGTCATATCTCACAGCTTGTGAGTTCGATCCCTGTGTCGGGCTCTGTGCTGACAGCTCAGAGCCTGGAGCCTGCTTCAGATTCTGTGTCTCCCTCTCTCTCCATACCTCCCCTGCTCATGCTCTGTCTCTCTCTCAAAAATACACAATAAGCATTTAAAAAAAATTTTTTTAAGTATTAAAAAAAGGAAAGAAAGCATTCCATCCAGCTTGCTTCCTAGTTTACAAATGACAAAACTGAAGCCCACAGTCGTGTGAGCAGCTCGGCCTTAAGACTGTGAGGCAAAGCCCACTGCCTATCAGGTACCCTTCCCTCCATGCCAGGTAGCCTCAAAGGATTCCTCTCTCCTGTATGGTTGGGGGGCCTCACCTCCTTCCCCAGCCCGAGGTGTCGAAGCCGCGGCTCCAGAGAGAACATGAGCTCCCCACAGGTCTGCCAGAGGCTCCTGACTTCTGCCGGGTTCTGCTGAGCAGCCTTACTTCCCAGGATCACACGTTCCAGCTTCTCCTGCAGGAGAGGAGAGGCCATTGGCTCGGCCACACCACCCAAAGCTGTCTTCTGCACCCTCCACACCCACCCCGCAGCCTAAGACCTTCCGGCTCAAAGTGCGGTCGATGGACCAGCGGTGTTGGTGTTGCAGGAGAAATGTCGATGCTCAGGCCCCGCTGCAGACCTGTTCAGCCAGAAGCTGCATTTCAACAAGACGGCCACGCAATTTATGTATGCAGTTAGAGCTCAGAGCCCTGGTGTAAGAACTGCATCTGCCGGATGTGCTTGGTCTCCACAGTGCCAGTGAGGGACGCCCGTGCCCAGGCCTCTCTACCATCCCCAGCGATGACCAGGCCCGAATTTTACAAGCACTTCACAGTTCACAGAACATTTCCACATCCTTCCCCCGTGTGACGCTCAGGTGAGCACGGTCAGGAAGAAACGCTGCTTTCCCCTTATATGTGAGGAGGCTACAATGCCCAGCAAGGCTGGCTGGCTTACCCAGAGTCATGCAGCATGGCAGGGACATGGTCAAGGCTCCGCGTAGGCTCCCACTACCATCCCACTGGCCCCCAATTCCTCACCTTCCCCAGCCTTCCCTCAACTCACCTTGGGCAGGTTGGGAACAAACTTGGTGTCGCCAAAGGACTTGTAGTTGCCCATGTTGGAGTAGATACCTGCAGCATAGACCAGGAACGCCTAGGGGAAGGTGGGCATCAGAGACCTGGAAACACAGCCTCCCCCACCCGAGGGAGGTTCCCTCCTGAGATGTTAACACCCAGAGGAACCAGTATAGGCGAGGCTGGGAAATCTGGGGGCAGGATCCAGATCCCAGCAGGACCCAGTCTGGCCGCAAAATACTTTCACAGACCAGTCTTCACACACCCATTGTCCAGCCAAACCAGCCTTTTCGGCAGCCCCCAAACACATCCACCTTTGTTCCCACTCTGCCCAGCACCTTCTCAGCTACCTGCAGCCATCTCACCTGACCTCAAAAGCCCAGTTTAAACACTGGCTCCTTCCAGGAAGCCTGGGTGGCTCAGTCAGTTGAGCGTCTGACTTCAGCTCAGGTCATGATCTCATGATTCGTGGGTTTGAGCCCCACATCAGGCTCTGTGCTGACAGCTCAGAGCCTGGAGCCTGCTTCAGATTCTGTGTCTGCCACTCTCTGTCCTTCCCCACTAACGCTCTGTCTCTAATATAAACAAAAAAATTAATAAAAAAACAAACAAAAAAACCACACTGCCTCCCTCTGCAGAAAGCCTGTCCTCTGCCTCCAACCTGCCAGGAAGCTGTCATTGGAAACATCAAATGTTACAGCTGGAGAGGCCATGATCATCTGCCCTATGGCTTTCACAGGCCCAAAACTTAGGTCTCCCTTCCTCTGGCAACAAGACCTCAGTCTTCCTCTTGAGAAGGGGGGGACTCTCCCTTCCCTAACTCTGGGGGTAGGCATAGGCTCAGGCTAGACCATAAAAGCCCTACCTGGGCAATTTTCAAGTGGTAAAGAGCCTCTATTTTTATACTAGGGATCAAGTCTGGAGCCCCTGGAGCTCCACTACTGGAGGAAAGAAAGCAAAGCTGAGAGATGAAGATTGCATCACAATGGCATCACTGAGCCCCTGAATCTAGCCATGCCTGAAGCCTGCCCTAGCCCTGGACTTTTCAGTTGCGTGAACCAATAACTCTCTTTTTTTTATTATTTATTTACTTAATTTTAAAAAATTGGAATGCTTCATGAATTTGTGTGTCATCCTTGTGCAGGGGCCATGCTAATCTTCTCTGCATCGTCCCAATCTTAGTATATGTGCTGCTGCAGTGAATACACTATCTCTTTTTAAAAATATCTTATTTTTTAGAGCATTTTAGGTTCACGGCAAAACTGAGCAGAAAGTATACAGATTCCCTATGTACCGTCTGCCCCCACACATGAACAGCCTTCCCTGTTATCAACGTCTTCCACTAGAGTGGTATATTTGTTACAACTGGTGAACCTACATGGACACATCATCACCCAAAGACCATAGTCTACATTAGGATTCACTCTTGGCCTTGTGCACTCTATGGGTTTAGACAAATATTTGACATATATCTAGATTACTCTGTACTATAGAATAGTTTCATTGCCCTAAATATCCCTCCCCTCACTGCCTGGCAACCACTGATTTTTACTCTCTCCATGTCCAGAATATCATATAGTTGAAATCAAATGCATGTAGGCTTTTCAGATTGGCTTTTTAAAGTTTGTTTGTTTGTTTGTTTGTTTACTTAGAGAGCAAGTAGAGGAGGGGAGAGGGAGAGGGAGAGAGAGAATCCCAAGCAGGCTCCATGCTGTCAGCACAGAGTCCGACATGGGGCTTGAACCCACGAACCCTGAGACCATATCCTGAGCCAAAGTTGGGTGCTTAATTGACTGAGATACCCAGGCGCCCCTCTTATTGTTGAGTTTTAAGAGTTCTTTATATATTCTGGCTAACGGTCCTTTATCCTATATCCTATATCTCAGTCCTATATCTCTTGCAACTGGTTTTTCCCAGTCTGTGGCTTGACTTTCCATTTGCTTGACAGTCTTTGACAAAGCAGAAATTTTTAATTATACTGAAGCTCCACTTATCAATTATTTCTTTACAGATAATACTTGACATTGTACCTAAAAAGTCATTTCCCTACCCAAGGTCATCTAGATTTTCTGTTCTCTTCTGGGAGTTTTTTAGTTTTGCATTTAAGTTTGTGACCCACTTTGCATTAACTTTTGTTAAAGATGTAAGGTCCACATCTCGTCTACATTCTTTTTCTTTTCTTTTTTCTTTCGTCTATGTTTCTTTTTGTTTGTTTGTTTTAAGGCTTATTTATTTTGAGAGAGAGAGAAAGTGCTTGTGCATACATGCACACAGGGGAGGGGCACAGAGAGAGGGACAGAGAATACCAAGCAGGTTCTGTGCCATCAGCACAGAGCCTGACATGGGGCTAAAACCCACAAACCATGAGATCATGATCCAAGCTGAAACCAAGAGCTGGTGGCTTAACTGACTGAGCCACCCAGGTGCCCCCCTTTTATTTTGCATGTAGATGTTTCAGAACTATTTGCTGAAAATTTCAGACTATTTTTACCCCATTGTGTTGCCTTTGCTCCTTTGTCAAAGATCAGCTGACTATAATTATCGGGGTCCATTTCTTGGCTCTTTATTCTATTCTGTTGATCTATTTGTCCTTTTGCCAACACCACACTGTCTTGATTACTGTAGCTTTATATTAAGTCTTGAAGTTGAGTGGTACTGGTCCTCTAACTTTGTTCTTTTTCACTACTGTGTTGGCTATTCTGGGTCTTTACCCTCTTTCCTCAGTATTGTGTTGAAAATAAAATCACTTGCTGGGATTTTTATTTGAGTTGCACTGAATCGATAAAGTTGGGAAGAACTGACATCTTTTTATTTTTATGTTTATTTATTTTGGGAAAGAGACAGAGGGAGCACATGAGTTGGGGAGGGGCAGAGAAAGAGGGAGAGAGAAAATCCCAAGCAGGCTCTGCTCTGTCAGTGCAGAGCCTGACTCAGGGCTCGATCTCACGAACCATGAGATCATGACCTGAGCTGAAATCAAGAGTTGGACGCTTAACTGACTGAGCCACCCAGGTGCATCAACTGGTGTCTTGACAATGCTGAATCTTCCTGTTCATGAACATGGAACATCTCTCCATTTATTTAGTTCTTTGATATCTTTCATCAGGTTTGTAGTTTTCCACCTATAGGCCTTGTACATTGTTGTATTTTTAACTTATGTATTTCACTTTCTTGTGTGCTACTGTAAATAGTATTATGTTTTTAAGGTCAAATTTTGTTCATTGCTGCTGTATTGAAAGCAATAGACTTTTGTATATTAACTTTATATCCTGCAACGTTGCTTTAATTGCTTATGAGTTCTAGGAGGTGTTTTTTGTCAATTATTTTGGATTATGTAGATGATCATGTTTTCTGTGAACAAAGACAGTTTTGTGTCTTCCGTCTCAATCTGCATACTTTTTATTTCCTGTTCTTGCCTTATTGCATTAGCTAGGACTTCTGGAACAATGTTGAAAAGCAGTGGTGAGGGGACTTCCATGCCTTGTTCCTGATCTTAGTGAGAAAACTCGAGTTTTTCACCCTTAAATATGATGTTAGCTGTAGGGTTTTTGTAGATAGGCTTTAACTTTATCAAGATGAGGAGGCTCTTCTCTATTCCTAGTTTACTTAGTTTTTATGATGAATCGTGCCAGATTTTGTCAAATGCTTTTTCTGCATCTATTGATACGGTTGTGTGGTTTTCTTCTTCAGCTTGTTGATGTGATGCATTATTTACTTTCAAATACTGAGCCAGATTTGCACTCCCAGGATAAATTCTACTTGGTCATGGTATATAATTTTTTATACATTGTTGGATTTGATTTGCTAATATTTTGTTGAGGATTTTTGCATCTATGTAAATGAGAGATATTTGTCTGTAGTTTTCTTTTAATGTCTTTGTCTGGTTTGGGTATTAGGATGATGTTGGCTTCATAGAATTAATTAGGAAGGATTCCCTGTCTCTCTCTCTTTTGAAAGAGATTATAGGGAACTGGTATAATGTTATCCCTAAATGTTTGGTATAATTCACCAGTGAACCCATGTCAACCTGGTATTTTCTGTTTGGAAAGGTTATTAATTATTGATTGAATTTCTCTAATGTCCATGGGATCTATAGTGATGTCCCATCTTTCATTTCTGATATTAATAGTTTATGACTTCTCTCTTTTTCCCTTAGACTGGCTAGAGACTTTTTACTCATTATGGTCTGAATGTTGGTGTCTCCCATCCAATTCATATGTTGAACTCTAACCCCCAAAGTGATGGGATTAGAATATGGGGCCTTTGGGAGGCAGTTAGGTCATGAAGGCAAGAGCCCTCACCATTGGGATTAGTGCCCTTATAAGAGACACCAGAAAGCTAGTCCACCCATTCCACTATGATAGGACACATGGGAAGTCAGTATTGTGCAAACTTGAAGAGGGTTTTCACCAGAACTTGACTGTGCTGGTGCCCTGAATTTGGACATTCAGCCTCCAGAACTCTGAAAAATAAACTTGTTTATAAGCCACTCAATGGTATTTTGTTATAGCAGTCCAAATAGACTAAAATATGTTTTGCTGATCTTTTCAAAGAACTACCTTGTGGTTTCATTAATTTTCTCTACTAATTTCCTGTTTTCAATTTTATTGATTTCTGCTCTAAAGTCAGACACTTAACCGACTAAGCCATCCAGGAGCCCCCTATTTATTTTTAATAAAGGTTTAAAATTTTTATTTGAGAGAGCACACAAGCCGGGAAGAGGAGCAGAAGGAGAGAGAGAACCTCTCCACACTGAGTGTGGAGCCTGACACAGGGCTCGATCTCACAACCCTGGGATCAAGACTTGAGCCAAAATCAAGAATTGGACTCTCAGCTGACTGAGAGGGCACCCAGGTGCCCCTAGATCTGTCTATTTCTGATGCAACAGTATTAAAGTCTCCAACTATAGTACTGGATTCATCTAATTCTCCTCGCAGTTCTATCAGTTTTTGTCTCAAGTATTTTGATGCTCTGTTAGACACATACACATTAAAGACCATTGTCTTCTTGTAGAAATGACTCTTTTATCATTATGCAATGCCCTCTTTATCCCTGGTAACTCTTCAGACTCTGAAGTTCACAACATTAATATTGCTGCTCCCACTTTCTTTTGATTAATGTTGGTATGGTATATCTTTCTCCATCCATTTACTTTTAATTTATATGTATCTTTAGATTTAAGTGTGTTCTTGTAGACAACATACATTTGGGCCTTGTTTTTTGATCCATTCTGACAATCTCTGTCTTTTAATTGGTACAATTAGACCATTGACATTCAAAGTGATTATTGATACGGTTGGACTAATATCTACCATATTTGTTACTGTTTTCGATATGTTGTCCTTGTTTATTCCTATTTTTGTCTTCCATTATTTTTCTGCCTTTTTAGTAGTAACTGAGACTTTTCACAGAGAGTCTATTTTCTCTCTCTTCTTAGCTCATTAGTTATACCTTTTCACTTTTTAGTGACTGCCCGAAATTTTGCAATATACATTTATAACTAATCCAAGTCCACTTTCATAGAACACTATACTGCTTCATGGATAGTGAGTACCCTATGATAACAAAATAATTTTAATTCCTGTCTCCTTTCCCATGTATCATTGCTGTCCTTTATTGCACCTACATACAAGGAGACAGAAATATATGTATGTATAAATATGCATAAGAATAAGATAAACATAAGCACATATAATTGAATACACTGTGGCTATCATTATTTTGAACAAATGGCGATCTCTTAGATCAATTAAGAATCAACAAAAATAGAGGCAGCTATCAGTCAGAAGAGCATGTAACTCTTGATCTCGGAACTGTGAGTTCAAGCCCTACGTTGGGTGTAGAGAATATTTAAAATAAATATTTTTTAAAAAATTTTAAGTGTTTTATTTTACCTTCACTTACTCCTTTAATGCACTCGCTTTCTTAATGCAGATTTGAGTTTTGGACCTGTATCTCTTTTCTTTTCCCTGAAGAACTTTTGACATCTCTTGCAAAGCAGGTCTACTGGCAATACATTACCTCAATTTGTGTTTGAGAAAGTCTGTTTTTCCTTCACTTTTTTTTTGAAGTTTATTTATTTATTTTGAGAAAGAGAGAGAGAGAGAGAGAGAGTGGCACAAGAGGAGGAGGAGCAGAAAGAGAAGGAGAGAGAGAATCCCAAGCATGTTCTGTGCTGTCAGCACACGGAACCCGACGTGGGGCCCGATCTCACGAACTACGAGATCATGCCCTGGGCCAAAATCAAGAGTCGGACATTCAACCGACTGAGCCACCCAGGCGCCCCTTCTTTCATTACTGAAGGATAATTTCACGAGGTACAGAATCCTAGGTTGGTGGCTTTTTCTCTCCACACTTCAAATAATCCAACCCACTTTCTTCTTGTCCATGTGGTTTCTGAGAAATTGGATGCAATTCTTATCTTTGCTCCTCTAAAGCTAAGGTCTACTTTTCCTCCAGCTTCTTCCAGGACTTTTTCTTTGATTTTCTGTACTTTGAAAATATGCCTAAGTGTAGTTTTTTATGACATTTAATATTCTGCTTAGTGTTCACTGAGCTTTGTGGATCTGTGGTTTAGTATCTGACATTAATGTGAGGAAATTCTTGGTCATAATTGTTTCAGATATTTCTTCTGTTTTTCTTCCTCTTCTGGTATTCCCATTACATATACGGTTCCTACAGTTGCTCTACGGTTCTCAGATACTCTGTGCTGCTTTTTTCAGTCTTTTTTTTCTCTTTGCTTGTCAGTTTTGAAGGTTTCCATTGGGATATACTCAAGCTCAGCGAGTCCCTCCTCAGCTGGGTCAAGTCTACTAATAAGGCCAGCAAAGACATTCTTCATTTCTGTGTTTTTAAACTTCTAGCACTTTTGGTTCTTTCTTAGGATTTCCATCTCTCTGCCCATCTGTTTTTGCATGTGGTCTACTTTATCCATTAGGGCCCTTAGCCCTAATCAGAGGGCTATTAATCATAGCTGTTTCAATTCCTTATCAGTCCACCATACCTGCTATATCTGAATCTGGTTCTGATGCTTTCTCTGTCTCTCCACACTGCGTTCTTTGCTTTTTTATTATGTTCTGTTATTTTTTCTTGATAGCCAGACATGATGTACTGCATAAAAAGAACTGCTGTAAATAGGTCTTTCATAATGTGATAGCCAGGTGTGGGAGTCCCAGAAGTATTCTACAGTCCCATGATTAGGTCTCATTAGTCTGTTAGTGAGCCTTTACCTCTGGACTGTGAACTCCACATGGGCTTCTCGGTCCTGTGTCCCCACCCACCCTTAGGTGGGACAGGATGATTTAGAACTGTCTGGAGTGGGATATTTTCCTCTGCCCAGGTCAGTTAGGTTCTGATAAAGCCCTAGAAGGTTAGGTTCTGGTGAAATAGTTTCTCCTGAGAGCAAACTGTTAAGAACAGAATGTTCTGGCATTTTTCACAAGCAGTTCCCTTTCCCTTACCCCTGTCAGAAGCACAAGGGGCTTTTTCTCTGAAACTCATTGTGAGGACCCGGTCAAGATCCTGGAAGTAAAACTCCCAAATGTGTGGGGGCCTCTCCTGTGACTGGGTTCCCCTGGAGTTTTTAACTCTCAGAGCTGTCCATACTGGAGCCTCCAGCAGTTTTTCAGTTACAGGTTAGGTTTTCCTACCCTAGTGCTGGTTGTGGGGAAGGCTTCTGCTCATGCATTTCTGCTGTTAAGTTGTGATCCTCTGTACCCACCTGTCTGTCTCTCCAATTTGGGAGCGGCAGCCCTGTGGCCTCATTTCTTTTAAGGACGTAAGAAAAGCTGTCGATTTTCTGGTTTGTCCTGCCTTTTACTTGTTAGGACAGATCGGTGACTTTTAAGTTCCTCACATGCTGGACTGGAAACTGGAAGTCATGAATTTCATTTTCACTGAAGCCAATTTGAGGTGGCTTTCTGCTCTTTGCAAACAAAAATAATCCCACTGGAAACAGTAGCACATGCAGCAATTTTCTATTTCCAAGCACTTGTCTCGTTGTTAACTCTTTTCATGAATAAATCAAAGCCTAGAGATGGGATGCTGATTACTAGAAGTTAAAACAAGGTAGAAGAAACAGCCTGGGCCTCAGCTCAGAGAGAAGCAATCCAATCCCTTTATTTTACATATAGAAAAACAGGCCACATTCTCATACATGCTGGGTGAAACCTTTGTAGAAGATGATTTAACAACATCAATCGATTATAAACGTACAGAGCCTTTGACCCAGCAATGCGACTTCTAGAAATAGATCCTACTCACACATGGCATGATCTCATTTATGTAAAGGACAAAATGAGGAACTGATACACATGTGCATGTACACATGTAGGTATGCAATACACAGACAGAGGAATTAAAAGACTGCACACCGCACCATCCAATGAGTGATCTTTGTATTTTGTGTCCTTCTGCATTGCAACAATGCACTACAAATGTATTCACATATTTGGCCAACAGACCCACGAACAAACAAAAACCAGAGGACAGGCGGGAACGCACAACATGGTGGAGGAAGATCTGGTCCAGAACTCAGACCTCCCGATTCCTACCCTGGACTCATTCCTCTACTGCCTCTGAATCTCCACAGCTGTTGCCTTTACTCACAGCCCCTGTTAAATCACAGCAGCCACTATTTATCTTGGAGTCAGGTCACTGCAGCCCTAGAAGGTACAGACTACCCTCATGCATGTTTTACAGATAAGACTGAGACTCTAGGAGAGGTGGTTCCTGTATATGCAACCTTTGGTCTAATCTAAAGAGAAAGACCTTTGTACCCCTGCTTGTGGTCCCTCATACCCAGAAGCCCCTCAGGAAATGCAGGATGACCTAAAAGAACTGACCTGATACTCCTCCTCGGTAAGGCCCTCAGCCAGGGCATGCTGGCGCAGCTGGTCTGGGTCCTGGGCACGGAAGAGGCGGCTGAGCAGGGCATAGATGTAGGGGGCCTCAGGGGAGGTCTGCAGCAGCACAGCCAGGCCTCCGTACCAGGCGGCCCGTGACAGATGGTGGGCATACAGGCGCTCTGTGGGTGACAGCAGGCGGAAGGCCTCGCGGCAGTCCAGGCTAGACACACCGATGTCATTGGGCAGGATGTACTGGGCGTCCGCCATGGGCCCTGCTGAGAACCATCACCATCATCACAGCCATCATTTACCACACACCTAGCTCTGCACTCTCATGCTCTCATTTAATCCTCCCCCAAACCCATTCACCAGATATGTTAACTGAGGCTCAGAGGTTAGGTGACTCACCCAAGGATATTACAAAATACATTGGTGGGTCACATTTGGCCTGGGGCCCCTAAACCTTAAAGAATGAATTCAACTACCAGTATTACAGATGGGGAAACTGAGGCCCAGAGAGGCTAGGAGCTTTGCCTAATAACACAAGTAATAACACAAGGGAGAGATCAGAAGCAGAGACCTGCATCTCTAGACTCCCAGCAGGGGTGGGGGAGGGGGCACTCAGCCTCCCCTCCTCCTTCTCTGACTTCCTAAACTCTTCAGAATTCTCCTGAATTGTGAATTCAGAATTCTTCAATTCCACCCACCACTGTGTTCAAAAGGACAGAGTTCCATGCTATCAGCTGGAAGACCCAGGTTCCAAACTTGGTTCAGCTCTAGACTTCTAAAATCAAGTCAGTTTTCACTTTTCCGTGCCTCCGTTTTCACCTCTGTAAAATGGGGGTGACAATAACGCCAACACCAGAACAGTGTGCAATCTGTCTCACTCTCATCCTTCTAACTGCCTTTTCCTTGGCCCTCCATCCTCCTACCCTCTCCCCCGTGCTCGGCCAGGGGAGCCTCGGAGCCGCAGAAGTTCGGAGCTGGAAGAAAACTCATTTTACAGACAGAGAGACTGAGGCTTAGAGAGGCCACGAAACTTACCGAATTCTCACAGCCCCGTTGGGACCCGGGACCTCCCAACCCAGTGCATTTTCCACACCGCACCCCCCACCCCCCTTACCGGGAATGAGTGTCCAGCCTCCCCCACCACTCCGGATGCTCCGCCCCAATAGCACTAACCCCACCTCCCGCCCCCGCCCCGGGTTAACTCTTTGCTGCCCGGAGGGTTCCTTGGCATAGGGGCCACAATGAATGTGGAAGGGGTACTGGATGGAAGGCAGGAAAAGAATGATCTTGCGTTCGGTCCAGACTCGCCCTGTCCCCCGAGGATGACGCACCGTGACCCCAAAACCCGGGCGCCGCGCCTCACCTGCAGCAGCTGCTCGGATCGCAAACTCACTTCCTGCTTCCGGCTCCCCCATTCATTGGGGCTCCGCGAACTCCGCCCCCCGCGGCCAATTGTCGGGCCTCGGGGCCCGGATGGGCGTCAGCTCCAGCCAATAGGCGCGCCTCGGCGCAGTCCGCCGGCCCGCCTCTCCCCGCCCCCGGGCCCTACAGGGTCGCACGGGGATGGCCCCTGCGGCCTTGGCCTTTGTCAGCGAGGGTGCTCTCGCGGGCCACTGGAACCTGAGTGGCTGGCCTGGCCGTGGCGTGGTCCCGGCAGACTGGGCTGACCAGGTCCCTCCGAGTCCGGACGGGGCGGCATGGGTGTCTGTACGGAGCACAGGGACTCCCCATCAGAGTCCCAACCCGACTCTGCTTTGGGTCCCCCACCTCAGTTTTGCAGGTGGAAACCTGCACAATGGAAGTCATGTGGCTCCTTCTTCCTCACTGGATTCGCGGGTCAGGCCGTGGAGATACTTAGGAGACTGCGACCCTACAGGGCGAGCTGCTGGGCTTAGGCTGAGGTGATCACACCCTTGCGGAGACACGGAGAAATGCCCTCAAGTGCATCACTGCCCTGCCGTTGACTCGCCAGGGTCTTGGGATGCAGCTGCTAAACATCTCTATGCCTTCGTTTCCTCGGCACAAAGGGGCGAGAGGCCTAGCAGTCTGTTGGTGCTTGGCCGATAACTCGATGGATCGGAAAGCTGCCTGTGACCCCAAAAGGCAGAGCTGGGCCTGAGACTTTTGCACGTCTGGGTGGACTCACAAGAGGATATCCTGGGTGGAGCATGGCATGTAGAAGTGCCGGCACCAGGCCTGGGCTGAGTGGGGAGCACTGTGAAGGTCCTGGGTCAGTGTGGGAGGAGCCAGGCCATCTGAGGTCGAATCCGGCCTCCATTGCCTACTGGCTGTGTGGACTTGGGTGGGACACTTCACCTCTCGGAGTCTTTGGCTCCCTCAGCCAGAAAACCCGGGCTGGGCTAACACTTGTCTCCACTCCAGGGAGCCAAGGGATGAGTGGACAGTCTGCCCCCTAGTGTTGTGCCCAGAGGAACTGGAGAAAGGGAATACCTGAAATCCACATACTCTCCTCGCCATACCTTTGCCACACCAGTGTCTAGGCCCACGGCAGCATCTGCCCAGCATTGACGCCAGTTTCTCATTTACGAAAGTGCCCAAGGCCCTGCTTGACACAACAGTGCTACTTACTGTTGGCTCTGATGATGATTATCATTACAAGGAGCTCAATAAATTGATCTGTGTCCTTAGGAAAGTCACCCTCTTCTTCCCTGTGCTTCAGTTTTGTCTTTAAAATGGGTACACTTCCTTGATTTGAGTGAATTTGAAATGTGCACCAGTAAAGGAGGTAGTGTTCTCCAGCCACCAGTGGGCAGCTCAGGCTAGCAAAAGATTCCAGCCCACCTGGGACCCTTAACCAAACTATGTTTTTATGATCACAGTTAATTTGAGCACACGAGGTCCTGTGTTAGCAGCTTGACATGGAGGATATTCCATTCTTGCAAAAACCCTGGTAGGATATCATTTTACCCATTGCAGGAGATGGGGAAACTGAGGCTAATAGGTTCATTGACTTCCCTAAGGCCACCCAGCCTATCCTCAGGTGTCCCCGAACAGGAGTCTAGCCTTCCTGACACCTTCCACCACACTGTCCCCTCCACTTGCCCCAACACACACACACACACACACACACACACACACACACACACACACACACACACACACACACACACAATCATATGGAGCAGTCCACTCACTGGAGTCATGACCATCCCCAGCCTTGGTTCTTCCCCATGGAAATGCAGGAGGGGTATGTGAGGAAGTAACATTAAGTACCTACTGTGTTACAGGTGCTTTCTATACAGTCACAACCATCTGGTGTTGTAGTAACTGCTATTCCATTTAACAGGTGACTGAGGCTCCAAGAGCTGGGAAGGGGCAAAGCTGGGCCAAATTCAGTGCTGTATTACCCCCCACCACTACCTCTGAGTTCTCCCTGGGATGGTTCCATGCTCTTTGCTTGTCTCTTCTCCCAGAGACTAAGGTTCTCTGCTGGAATGGGACTGGAACATTCCCCTGACTGATTCCCAACAGGGTCAGAAGAAAGAACAACTGGGAAGAGCCGGATTCCTAGTGGGGTGTGTGTGTGTGACAGTACTCCCACATCCACCTGAGCATCCCATCTGGGCTCCCCCACTGTGGCAGTGTGATGCACTGAAGCTCATCACATCCCCTTTTCACCACCCACCAGTGCCCTCTGTCTCAAGAGACCTACGTCTGATCTCTGTGGCCCCCACCAGCTGTGTGGCCCGGGGCAGATCCCTCCCCTTGGAATCTGTACTCCCTAAGGCTCCAACAGCTGTCTTCAACTGGGGATGATGCCCGGGTCAGGCCTGTACTTAGAGCCTCTTTTTCAGGTTTTTGGATCTCCAGAACTTCCACCTACCTGTCTCCCGAGGTTGCTGCCCCCAGGAATGGTCTGGAAGCAACCCCAGCAGCACACTGAGGCTGCCTTGGCTCTCAGGAAGAAATGACACTTAGGATGAGTGGGGGTCCAGTTTAGACTTGGTCTTCATGGCAACCAAGGGCCACCAGGCCCCAGCCCAACATCCACACCCCTCATTCCTCATCCCTCCAGACCTGGCTCCTCTGTCACCAAGCATTTTTCCTGCCATACCTTTGCAATGCTGTTCCAGTTACCTGAGCTGCCCTCCCAACTTCTCCCACCCCTGTTCAAGGAAAGCAGCACAGTGTGATGGAGAGGAGGGCGGGCTAAGGCCAGGATTTGAATCTTTTCTAGCTGTATGACTTGGCGCGTGTGCCTTAATCTCAGAATCTTAGATAGAAATGGTAACACCTTCCTCCCTGGGTTGCTATGAGGATCAAATAGCAAAACCTCCTAGTTAATGCTCCATTAACAAAGTTATTATCAGCAGCAGCACAGCAAGGGGCATGGTGGGCACTTGGCAATACCAGCCCTTCTGTCAGCCAGCGCACTGTGAGAGTCCCCTCTCTTCCCCCTGCTCCTGACTGTCCACAAATGAGGTCCCAAAGCCTCTATCCGGCATCTTCCCCATCAGCACAGCCCCAACCTCTTGCTCCGGCCTCCTTTCTGCCCCGTTGCCACTGCCCCAGACACTCAACCGCTCGCTCAGTTCTCTGCTTCCTCCTACCTGAGCCTGTGCTCAGCCTCCCTCCTGCCCACAGCACACTCCCCTTCCTGTGGGGAGTTCCCACCCGAACCCCCCTCACCCTCCCGCCTTCTAGTGAGACCTGCTCCACAGCCTTTGGCCATTCTCTGATCCTGGCACACAGGAAACTGTGCTGTCATTCAGTAATTTGGTCTGTTGTCCACTAGACTGTGAATTCCACCGGGCAGCGAACCAAGTCTGATTGTGTCTGTCCCCAGAGCCCACTTGGCATAGTGGTCCAGCCCACAGTGGGTATCAGCAGATGCCAGTCCCAGCCTGCTGCCCACCCATCACTCACGCAGGGGCTGGCGGCACTGCACTCATGCTGGACACGCGGGATTTGCGAGGGCAGCTGAGCAGCAAGGTTTATAGAGGAACCCAGGGCAGCAGCAGGGTGAGTATATCTGGAGCTGGGTCGGCAGGCTCGGGGCACAGCCAGCCTAAGCTGGGGGTCAGGGGCCCACGGCCCCTTCACTCCCCCAGGGACACAGTGTAGGCGGCATGATGTAGGACACCCCAGGAAAGCCCGGGACAGAGCTGGTGCTGAGGGCCCCATCATTATGACTGGGGTAGGGGTTTGGGGGACCAGAGATAAGAGGGAGGAGCACAGCCCATCCAACACGTCCATCCGGTGTGGCTATGTGCCAGCAGGTAGAGTCCCACATGCAGAGCTCCCTCTGGGCTGCAGAAGGTGGGGGACCTAGGTGGGCAGGTGGGCACGGCATCCAGGGCCCCGGGAGAGCCTAGTCCAGCGGCCCCTGGAAAATGAGGCGGACGCAGCCATGCTCGCCGGTGAGCCAGGCCCCACAAAAGGGGCAGGCAGCATGGAAAGCATGGGTGCCATGGGGCAGTGGTGTCTGGGCCCAGTAGCGGGCAGTCTTCTCAGAGCAGACATGGCCGCAGGGTGCAAAGGCATGGCTGGGTGGTCCAGGGTCCAGACAGAGGCCGGCCTCCTGGCCGAGCCATAGGGGGACATAGGGTCCCACGAGGCGACAGAGAGGACACTCGCGCTCCTGGGGGCCCCGCTCTCTCCTGCAGCCCCAGCCGTGGTAGCCGTGGACGTGGCCACAACGGACGTAGACCCAGGGCTGCTGCTTGTCGGGTGCTGTGCGGCCACGGGCCGGACTGGGGAAGGCCAGGGTGCTGAGGCCCACGGGGCACTGGGGCCGTGCTGCGTTCGCTTCCTGCCGCTGGGCCTCTAGCTGCTTCAGCGTGGGTGCCCTCAGCAGCCCTGCTGGCGTGCGCCATAGCAGCGTGGCCCCACACAGGTCAATGAGGGAGCCGTCCTGCAGCACATTAGACTCGTTTTCCACCTGCCAGAGACAGCAGAAGGGCCTTACTGCTCAAGAGGCCCCCGAACTCCTGGCCATTGGGCAGCCGTCACCCCAGCCAAGCCACCTATCCATCCCACTGAACCTCCCTGGAGAGAACACCCTGGGCCAGTGGGGTGGGCTGGGGCAGAGGAGCCAGGAGGCCTGAGAACCCATGTGGGAGAGCAAGTCAGTGCTCCCAGGCATGCACTGTCCCTCACAGTGTGACATGGGCCTCGGCCACTTTATCTGTCAAATCAGGAGAGCTTGACCAAAACAAGGTTGTTCCCAGGGTCTCCCCTAAGGGCAGAAGTGGGAAAACCCTTCTATCTGAGAAACACTGGGGGGCTTAGCCCAAGGCAGCTGTCCCAGTGGCTGTGGTTAAAAGCAATGATTCTAGAACTAGCGTGCCTGGGTGTGATTCCTGGCTTCACTGTTTACTGACTTTGCATCCCCGGTCAAGTAACTCATCCTCTCTGTGTCTTAATTTCCTTATCCTCGAGATGGAGTCTGCGTCCCATTATCTCAAGTGGTTCCCATGAATCAATCAACGTAAACATCTGGAACAGTGCCTGGAACACAGTAGGTACTCAACAAGTGTGTGCCAGTGAAATATTCACACGCACCGATTTTAAAGATAATGTTTCTCCAAATCTCCCCGTAGAATTGGTGCTCTGGAAGGAGAAGCCATGCTTTTCCCTGAGATTGTGCATCTGTTTGCTGGGTGTGCTCGAGCCCTGGAAGAGCTCGGAGAGGCCTATTTAAGGAGCTTAGCCACGTGACCATGGGCAGGCCCCTGCCTCTCTCTAGGACTCTGTCCCAGCTCCTAATGTTAGTTCTCTGATCTGTGCCACATGGAGCATTCACTGTCACCTCCATAAGAACTACTCCAAGGGCCCTTTCCCGCTAGTAGAGGATAATAAAGCTAAATCCACCGGAACGTGAGAGACATGTTGCAAACTGCCAACACTTTCGGTATAAACTGCTCACACATGGGCCAAGTGTCATCCTCACAGGAGGCTGGGATGTTTTAAGCTGTCGGCATCCCTGAGGCCACTTTCTACTGCACAGTGCATTTATGTGTGCTCTGTCGCGCCTCACCCCATAGACCTCCAGCAGTATGTGGGCTACATTTTGGAGCCACTGGTCTGGTCCTCTCTGTGGGGCAAGTGGGGCATGATCCCCAAATGGAACCTGTTGGAGCTCCCTTGTGTAGGAGGGCTGGAGATCAGGGGGAAGGGTCTGGGAAGGAGTCGGGGGCGGGGAGGATGGAGCAGGCCACCTACCAGCTTCCCTCGCTGCTGTGCCGAGCGGCTGTCCCTCAGAGTGTACACATTCCCACAGACTGATATCTCCCTCCAGACACCCGGGGCCGAGTCCTCAGAGAAGCCGCCTGCTGGGTGCATCACCAGGACCCCATTGGTGGTTAAGCCGTCCATCAGGCCGTCGGGGGTCCGCCACTTGGCTGCCCGCTCCTGGGACCACATGTGGGATCAGATCATATCCCCGAGTGGCCCCCAGCAGGCCGCGATCCCGGGATGCTGCCTCAATACCCTCGCAGTCAGAGGGAGCCCAGAGAGGACTGGAATGGGCGCTGCATGGCCGGGGGCATCACCTGAAGTCCTGGAGTCTCACTGTGCTCATGTTTTAAGTGACACTGCCACTGCCAGCATAGGTCACGGTTATGATGACTGCCCACTGGTCCATCACCCCAGGACACTGACCCTCCCCACCCTGCCCCTCTGCTCACTCTCAGATAAAGTGCCGGTCCCTGCCTAGGGGGGGGCTCACTCACTCCAAGGAAGATGTTGCTGGAGGCATCAAAGCCAGCAGCATAGATGCGGGCAGTATAGGGCGGCCGGCGGTCACAGAGGATGCGGCAGGCATAGCGGGAGATGGTGCTCTGGGCAGAGGGGCCCTCGGCGGCCCCTCCTCCAGGCGATGTGTCCGTTACCACAAAGTCGATCATGTTCTCGGTGGAACGGCCGATCTGTGAGGAAGAGGAGGGCGAGCACAGGGATACTGTGCACGGCTCAATCCCACAGGCTTCCTACCCCAGGGTTCCGCCTGTGGGGTCACCAAACAACGAGGAGGGGGGAGTACCACCCCGACTCCCTAAGCACTCTGGGCTCTCAGCTGGGGTCTCCAAATCCAATGGCTAGGATCTGGGGCTTCTCTGTCTCCCCCACTCAATAAAAATGAGTTTATTTTTTTTTTAATTGACCAGTGAAAACGTGACACCCACGGTCTGGGAGTGCTCAAACATTAGCAGCACATAGTGAATTTTTTAAATTTAGCAGATACCGTGCTAAGCCCTTCATGTGCCATATCTCAGCTAATCTTCCCAATAATTCCATGGGGTGGGTATACTGTGGGCCCCACTGTACAGATGAGGAAACAGAGGCCCAGAGAGTCTAAGCGACTCTTGCCCAAAGTTACCCAGCTAGTAAGTGATGGAGCTGGGATCTGACCCAGGTAGTATGACTGTCGCACCTCACTCTGAACTCTTAAGCTGTATGGCCTCCTGTGGCCTGGGAGTCTGCTCTTGAGTTTTAAATTTTGATACAGCCACTGATTTGCTGTGTGACTCCAGGAGGTCAAAGGCCTCATAGGACATCCTGCTTCCTCATCTGAAGAGTAGTTGATTACACTGAGTCCCCGCCCCCAAAACACCCTCACCACAGCCTTCAGTCCTCCAGGGTCACCCTGGAATGCCTGCAGTGCTGGATGTTGAAGCCCGGTGGCTCCGTGGCCAAGAGGCTTACAGAGGGGCCTGAGCATACCTGGAACATGTCTGTGTCACTGTCATGTGTGTATTCGACTATGACCGAGTGGCTCCGGGACAGTGTATACGAGATGCTGTGCTGGCCACGGTTACTCAGTGCCTGGTGGGGAGAAAGGAGAAGTCACTTCCCAGGGCCTGTGGCCAAGGGAAGTGTGAGCCTCTGAGCCACAAGTTGGAACCCAACGCCCACTGGCCAATCCCAGGGAAGGGGCAGTTCTACCCTCGCAGAGGATGTCCTGTGCAACTGGCACTATACTCAGGCTGCCTTATCTGATCCCTACAGCCACCCCAAGAGGGAGGCCTGGTTATTATTCCCATCTTATGGCTGAGGGAACCGCAGCTCAGGGAGGAGAAGAAACTGGCCAAAAGTCACACAGATGGAAACAGGAGAGCTTGTATCTTAACCCAAATCCTCTGAAGCCAAAGGCTTTCCTTTGCCATTGCTGTGTGACTGTCACATCCCTTCTCTGAGCCTTGGCTGCCTCTAAATGATGCTGATCATTTCCATTCAATGGCTGGGATCTGGTCATCAAAGAAACATTCTGCAAACTGTAAAGTGCGGTACGCTGCAGGGGATCTCCTCTCGGCACCACTTCCCTGGTAGCCCCAGAAGACACAGAGGGCTCCCCTGCTCCAGCAGGCCTGTGGGCAGGCAGCACTGGGAAGGCTGAGGACCTGGGATCTGGGCAGGGAGCACAGGACTTTTGTCCAGGTCTACTGGGACAGGCTGCTTGCCTTGGAGACGAGCGGTGTGGAGATGTGGTGCATGACGTCTGGCTTCACTCCGTTGGCATGGGGCCGGCGGCTCAGTGCCAGGCGGCTTCTCCGGCGGCCCTTGTCCCCAGTTGCCAGACACCCATTGTAGCTGTGGATGTGGAGGGTTAAAAAGAAGGAATTGAAGGGAGAGAGAGAGAGAAAAAAAAAAAGAAAGTGAGCCCTTGAGAGATTTGGAAGAACTGCTAACTTCTGGGCAGATTCTACAGTAACAAACAAACACTAGAAGCATCTGAAACTAGAAGACCCTCCCTACTATATGAAATCAGTGCCTTTGGGAAGTAGGGTGAGGAGCAGAGTAGCTAAAAAAGACTTTGCATTCAGTTAACCAGTGCTTCCTGGATGCCTGAGCCATGTGTGGCCAGATGCTGGGCGGTGGGGTGGCATCGGGGGCACACCGCAGGTCAGTTCTGTGTCCTCAGTGGCAGGGAAGCAGGGGTCCTGAGCTTTTCAAGGAACCTGAGTACCAACTGTGCCATAGGCCCAGAGGCAGGAGAAGGGAATTCTGGCCTCAGATCAGGTTTCTAGAAGAGGAAGCTGGGCTTTGAAGAACTAGAAAGGATTCACCTCTATAGCAAGCTGTCACTTGTTACACCACAAGTATGACTGGAAACCGGAATGAAAGAAAAAACAGAGGGGCACCTGGGTGGCTCAGTTGGTTAAGCATCTGACTCTTGGTTTCAGCTCAGGTCATGATCTCACTGTTCATGAGTTCGAGCCCTGTGTTGGGCTCTGTGCTGACAGTGCAGAGCCTGCTTGGGATTCTCTCTCTCTCTCTCTCTCTCTCTCTTTCTCCTTTTCTCTCTGCCCCTCCCCTGCTCATGCTCTCTGTATATATCTCTAAAATAAATAAACCAACTTTAAGAAAAGAAGGAAGGAAGGAAGGAAGGAAGGAAGGAAGGAAGGAAGGAAGGAAGAAAGAAAGAAAGAAAGAAAGAAGGAAAGAAAGAAAGAAAGAAAGAAAGAAAGAAAGAAAGAAAG